CATGCTAGTGGACTTGATACACAAAGTAACATGCTAGAATGCATTATAGCTATACAAAGCATGGCATGCATGACCAAATCAACACAAATCAAAGCTAGAGCATGCTAAAACATGGACAAAAGCTTCTTAGACTTAAGCCAAAATCATGCTAGAATGACATGTTAAAGCATGAGACACATTAGGCTATTTCATGGAATTGCACTACAAGTGTAGGGAGCATGCAAGAGCTAATCAAACGAAACCTTAAAAGAGGTATGACATGGCAAAACATCACCAAAAACCTACAAAAATAGATTCAAAACAAGCTAGAATGACATGCTACTTCATGAGGCATACAAAGCTAGTTTGCAAGATTTACACTACAAGTATATAACGCATGTATGAGGTGATAAAATCAAGTAAAAGCAGTGGTATGTCATGCTGAAATAAGGCCTAAAATAGGCTAAGATGTGGCCAACACAAGCTTAACAAACATGCTCAAACATGAGGCATTCAAAGCTAATATTCAAAACACAAGGAGAGGGGATGACCCTCTCCTATTTGGGACCTCAAAACACCATTTCCACCACTGAAATTCCTCTGAGTTTCAGTGGTGAGAAGGCCAAAACAAGATGGTCCCAATCGCTCAGAAGAATGGCACAAAACAAAGCAAAAACAAGGCCTAAGAGGGGGTAAATCACTCCCAACACAAAAGTGACCTTAAACAAACATGTTAAAGACTGAAAAATATAACTTTTTACAGTAGGAAGTTAAGTCTGAAACACCGTGAAAATAGGTCCAAAAGCTTAAGCAAAACAAGGGGATAAAAGGCTAGTTGACTCACCCTTGAGGATCTTCCTTGAAGCTATAACTCCAGCAGCTTTTTTGAGGTCAAACCAAACCAAAAACACCAAAACCAACTTCTAAGAGCCTCGGAAACAAAAGGATGGTGTTTGAGTGTGTGTTTGTGTACAATAGTGTGATAAATATGCACTTTTGAACACAAATATGAAGAAAATGAGCAAGATAGATACAAAGGTGTATGTATAACTCTCAAGCACAAAAATCTGAACCTAAGGCATGAGGGAGGAGGCTCCCTTATATAGAAAAATAAAAGTCAAGCTTCTTGAGGAAGCTAAGGGCTTAAAGTCATCCCTCCATACACGTGTACAAAGGATCACTTCTGTGCCCTCCAGCTGGCACATTTGGCAAGAAAATATCTCTAAAAAGGTGATGGAAAGCAGCCGACGGCCAGCTACTTTTTCTGGTCGGCCAGGACAAAAGTGGTCTCCAGAAAAGAAAAGTGGTCTCCCAGAAAGAAAAGTCGTCTCCCACGGTGGAAGGTGGTCTACAACATGAAAGCAAGCTAATGGCATGGTGGGAGACCAGAAAAGGTGGCCCAAAGACCAAGAAAACCCGTTATCTGACCAGAAAACTTGCTGGTAGGGAGGAAAAGTGGTCTCCAGGGGGAGGAACTGGTTTCCCAGGAAATAAAGTGGTCTCCCATGGGGGAGGAGTGGTTTGCAACATGAAAGCAAGCTAATGGCATGGTGGGAGACCAGAAAAGCTGGCCCAAAGACCAAGAAAACTAGTTATCCAACCAGATACTGGCTAGCAGGATGGAAAGTGGTCTCCAAGGGGAAGAACTTGTCTCCCACCCTTATACCACCTCCAAACAAGGAAAACAAGGTTTGTACCAAAAACAAACCAAAAGGGATTCAAGACGAAAGTTCGGGAGGCAAGACGCGCAGCTGGGAGCCTCGAAAACTAGTCTACGAGCACCAAAAGTGGTCTCCCAGACCGCAGTGTCCCTCTGGGCAGAGGCAACAAGGCATGGTTCAAAAACTAAGCCAAACGGAGAACGTTAAGCGGTTTCGAGACAAGGCACGCGGCCGAAGGCTCCGAAAATCAGAAACTAGTCTCCAAGTAGGAAAAGTGGTCTATGACCACAAAAGGGTGGTCTACAGACCACTCCCTCCCTCCAGGGAAGAGAAACAAGGCTTGGTCCACAAGCCGAGCCAAAGCACAAAGAGTTTAGAGGCCGAGAGGCAAGGCATTCGACCGAAAACTCCAAAACCTCAGAACGAGCACAACATGCACAATCACTCAGCGCTCAATCGATGACGTCTGAGTCTTAAGGTCGGTCAAAAATGGGTGTCTACACTCGGTCCAACAAACTAGCGAGCTACATATCCTGCAATATAGTGCCTCATATGGCGCCAAGCCAATGCTAGTGTGGTAACTATTATTATAAGCAAACTTGGCCAATGGCAAATAAGTTTTCTAGCTGCCCTGAAAATCCAAAACACACATACGAAGCATGTCTCCTGGGGTTTGAATAGTTCTTTTGGTTTGCCCATCAGTCTGTGGATGAAATGTCGTACTAAATCTCAATTCTGTTCCCATTGCATCCTGCAGACTACGCCAAAATCTAGAGACAAATTTAGGATCCCTATCTGATACAATAGACACTGGAACTCCATGTAGCCAAACAATCTCATCAATATAGATAGTAGCAAGTCTATATGCAGTAAATGAAGTCTTTACAGCAAGAAAGTGAGTAGATTTAGTCAATCTATCAACTATAACCCAAATAGAGCCCATATCTCTAAGTGTCCAAGGTAGGCCAACAACAAAGTCCATGGTGATATGTTCCCATTTCCATTCTGGAATAGAAAGAGACTGAAGCAAACCTGCTGCCTTCTAGTGCTCTGCTTTTACCTGCTGGCATTATAAGCATTTAGAGCTGAAGTCAGTAATCTCCCTTTTCATATGGGGCCACCAATACATTAACTTCAAGTCTTGGTACATTTTGGTGTTTCCTGGATGCATAGAAAACATTGACTTGTGAGCTTCCTGCAAAATTTTCCTTTTCAAATCTGCATCATTCGGAACACACAATCTCCCTTGATATTTCAACATGGAATCTTCAATTATGAACCCCAGTTTAGGCTTGTTGTCAAGTTCATCACAAATCTTCTTTAAAAACTCATCATTCGTTTGTTTCTGCTTAATTTCCTCGATAATGGCAGGTTAGGCAGACATTGCGACTATCAAGTTGTCCTGTTCAAAAGGAACCACTTCAATTTTGAGTTTTTCAAATTCCAGTAACAGTTCTCTCTGATCTGTGAGTAAATAGGCAAGATTCCCCACACTATTCTTTCTACTAAGTGCATCTGCTACAGTATTGGCTTTACCCAGATGATAATGAATTTGCAAGTCATAGTCTTTGATTAGCTCAAGCCATTGTCTTTGACGCATGTTCAGCTCCTTCTGTGTGAAGAAGTATTTCAAGCTCTTATGATCTGTGTACACTTCACATTTGGTCCCATACAAATAGTAACGCCATATCTTTAATGCAAAGAAAACTGCAGCAAGTTCTAGGTTGTGTGTAGGGTAGTTCTTTTCGTGTAGCCTCAATTGTCGAAAGGCATATGCAATCACCCTGCCATTCTGCATTAAAACACAACCCAAGCCCTTACAAGATGCATCACTAAAATTCACAAAACCTTCGGTACTTGAAGGAATAGTAAGAATTGGAGTTGTAGTGAGTCCTGTCTACAACTCTTGAAAGGTTATTTCTCTCTAATCCGTCCATTCAAATGGTTTCCCCTTTCGAGTCAACTAAGTCAATGCCACAGTAATTTTTGAAAAGTCTCTAACAAATCTTTGATAATACCCTTCCAATCCCATAAAACTACGAACTTCTGACACATTAGTTGGGGTAGGCCAATTAATAATAGCTTCAATTTTATGAGGATCCACAGATATGCCATCCTTATTAATGATGTGCCCCAAAAAATGCAATTTCATCAAGCCAAAATTCACACTTTTTGAATTTCCCATACAACTGTTTTTCTCTAAGTGTTTGAAGAGTCAGTTTCAAATGTCATTCATGCTCATCTTTACTTTTCGAACAAATCAAGATGTCATCAATGAATAAAACAACAAAGTCATCTAGGAAAGGTTTGAAAATTCTGTTCATTAAATCCATAAATGCTGCAAACGCATTTGTAACTCCAAAAGGCATAACTAAAAACTCATAATGCCCATACCAGGTCCGGAAGGCGGTCTTTTCAATGTCCTCAGCCTTAACCTTTAGTTGATGATATCTCGATCTCAAGTCAATTTTCGAAAATATCTGTGCCCCCTGTAACTGGTCAAACAGGTCATCAATACGCGACATAGGATATTTATTTTTCACCATCACCTTTTTGAGCTATCGGTAATCAATGCATAATCAGAGAGTGTCGTCTTTCTTTTTAACAAAAAGTACCGGTGCACCCCATGGTGATGTACTCGGTCTAATAACCCCTTTATCAAGCAATTCCTGCAACTGAATTTTCAATTCTTTCATTTCAGTGGTAGACATGTGGTAGGGAGTTTTAGAAATTGGTTGAGTCCCCGATATTACATCAATTGCAAATTCAATCTCTCTATCCATAAGTTGGCTGGGTAATTCATCCGAAAACACATCAGGAAAATCTCTCACCATTGGTATATCGCCTAGGGTAATGTCTACAGTTGGTTTAGTTATTACACTACACAAATACCCTTGACAACCCTTATTCATTAGTTTTCTGGCTTTCATGGCAGCTATGAGGTATAGTGGAGGAATTACCCCTTTTATCTCAAAATAAAATTCATCCTGTTCGGGAGGTCGAAATATTACTCATTTCAAAGCACAATCAATAGTTGCATAGTATTTAGCTAGCCAATCCATACACAACACCACATCAAAATGTCTCATGTCTAGAGGTATTGAATCGACATACAAAACAACATTCCTGAGAAATAATTCACATGCAATAAATATAGTTGAACATAGTATGGATCCCCCGTAGGTGATGCAACACATAACATATTGTAAAATGTTTCCATAGGTCTATTCAAAGTTTCAGCAAAAACCATAGAAATAAACGAATGTGTAGACCCGGAATCAATTAAAGCATAAGCAGGTTTACCACAAATGGAGATTGTACCTGACACTACTGCCTCAGCATTTTGAGTATCCCCCGGGGTCAGTGCAAACCTCCTTGAAATTGTCTGGCCTTTTTATAATTTGTATCTACCATGTGGGGTGCAAAACGAGCTAATTCTATAAACTGAGCCTCATATTCAGCAATTGATTTATTTCCCTGCTTGAGTTCCATGAATTCAGCTGCCTTTCTATCCCGCACACATTGGGGAAAATATTTCTCGTAGAAGATTTCCAGAAAATGAGCCCAAGGGACATCCTTATTATCATCTCGCACTAACATCGACCAACGTCTAGCATCATCTTCTAGGGTGAATGATGCTAGTTGTACTTTCTGAGCTTTGGTACACAGGAATACTTCAAACAACTTTTCAATTCCTAGGACCCAAGCCTCGGCCTTCAACGGTTCAATTCCGCCATGAAACACTGGTGGCTTTATCTTTTTAAATTTCCTAGTCAAGGCAATAGTACAGGTCTCCGGCTGACACCCTGGAGCTGGAGGTGGTACAGGCATTGGAGGTGGGAGAGGTGGTAGTTGTTGTTGTTGCCATTACTGTTGTTGTCTTATGGCTTCAGCTATGTCTTGCATCATTCGTTCTATTCTATCTAGTCTTAAGGAGGTTGCCTCCTCTATTTCATCACCTCTGGTTGTCACCATTTTCTATATGAAACTTTGTATTATAACAAACACAATATATATATATAGTCATGCACGCAGTTGCATATATAATCACAAAGTTATCTCATTCAGCATATCAAATGCACATGAATGTAATCCTAAAGTCTCTTCTAGACTCTCTATAGCTCCATGGAGAAGTGAGTGAGATATAACTCGTGCTCTGATACCACTTTATCAGGACCCAAACCCGACCTATAGGTTTAGCGTCATGACCGACCAGTAATCCTAGATTACCTACGGCCTCATGTACAAATGAACCTCTTAATATAAAGTATGGGGCATAGCGAAAATTTAAAACAACATAGAAATTATCCATTGAGCTGTGCGTATACAAGGAGAACTATTATAATAAGCAAAGTTTTGATTTAAAAGTACATTTGTCACAATTGTTCAAAATTCATGCCTTACAAATATACAACCCTAATTATAAACAAATACAAAACCTTTGAAATAAATGAAAGGGGGTTCAACTAGCATGGCTCCTCCTGAGCTTGATCGCTTCACTTAGAAGCTCCTCAAAAGGGCTGACCCGGGTAGACTCGAGGCTTTCTAACTTTGATGTTTAGCTTGTCCACCTACATATATATAAATAAATAGTGAACTAGAGCCCAGTGAGTAATAACAAAATAAAGAGATTATGTGAATGAAATTCGATAGCATGCTCGACAAGATTCTTGTTTCAAATCTTTATATCCAATAAATTTCATAATCGACGTCATTCAATATCAAATAAGTGGTACACCCATGAACAATAACATTCCAATCATAGTGGAGCAAAACCAATGGACCACGAAGGGTCAAACCAATGGACCATGAATGGTCAAACACTAGAGATCTCTACGTAATCTAATAGCCTTAGTATTGTTACCCCCAGGCAAGGGCCTACAACCAATAGCCGTGGTATTGTTACCCCCAGGTAAGGGCCTATAACCAGTAGTCGAGGTATTATTATCCCAAGTATGGGCGTATGTCCTATGGATGCCACAAATACATTTCGAAAATGAACTTCATTCATCATTACAAAATAACTTGTCAATAAACCATTCAATCAGTCACATATTGATTCCAAAACAACAACAATTTTGAAAATAATATTCCTTGAACATATTCTACTCACATGCTTCTAACTCACTCTATGATTATATGAGTCCAAATGGTGTCTAAGAATACATAGATTGACATGAGGATGCAAATATGCACTTAAAAGAGTTTCCTAAAATTTACTGAAAACAGAATCTCCGCTCGAGCGCCACTTCCTACGTTCGAGTGGGGGCTCAAAAACAATGGTGGTCGCTCCAGCGTAGCTTCTGTCACTCGAGTAGTTTGCAAAAGTACTGGTTACATGAAATTTCAGCTCGACGAACGCTTGAGCGAAAGATTGAGAAAAAAGGTCCTCGCTCGAGTGCTACTTTGGTTGCTCGAGTGACCTGTAAAATTTTAGAAAACTTCTAGGAGCTTGATTTTCATGCTCGAGCGGTGCTTTACTCGCTCATGTGGATAACACGAATTGCAGAATTTCCAGAACTGTGTTTAAAGTTCAAACATGGTATTCAAAGCTTCAAACCTTACGTTTTTGGAACAAAAACATGGAGAGTCATTGTATAACATGAAAATACTTCCAATTTGAAACCATTTATTCGAAACCACGGTAAATTCTTAACCAAAAACTTCAATTTCAAATTATAAAATAAGTTTAATTCAAATTGAGCGTATATTTCTTCAAAACATAACCAAGTGACATAAGGAGCATGAAAATGTGAAGGATTCTTCAAATTGAGGTATAATTGTGCCATGCGTGTACGAATTTCATGAATTCTAACTCAAATTATGCATGTATGTACATGTTTAACTCGTAGCTTCCAAATTCAAGGTGATTGAAGCTTCTATTTAACAATTCCATGCAAATGAAATCAAAACCTTGGTGAATACAACTTCTATATGACTTGATTCCAAGAATTTAGAATGAATTACGTACCTAATGTGTGAATTCAAGTGTATTATGGCTCCAATCTTTGAATCTTCCACCAAATCTCTAAAAATCTCCTCTTTCTCTCTTTAAATGTTGAACTCTCCTCTCTTCTCTCTCAATTCTCAGCTAAGTGTGTGTATAAAATGAGCTCATAAGCTATTTAAAGCTATTTATATGGTGTGATTAAGTTAGCCTAATCAGATATGATTAAGGTTAATCAACTAGGCTTAATTCTAATTAATTCAATCAGTTTATTCTAATTATTTTAATCCAAATCAATTTTCAATTAAAGTTACCATAAAATTTTAAATATTCTAATTAGCCTATTGGGCTGGTCAATTTCAGTTTTTGAGGTTGTCTAGGCTTTCAATTTCTGACTCTAAGTTGTCAATTTAAACAGATAATCCATGTAACAATAGATAATCACAAATTAAACATGTAATCACACAATTAAACACATAATCATGCAATTAAAATTATTAAAATAAAATAATATACTAGTCTGGAGGTTGGGGTCATCACACAACGTCACTACAAATCCTCTCCCATCACATAATCAAGCGCTTCCACCTTGGCATATAAATCTCATTTACACACTGGTCATCCCTTACAACCCCAGTATATACATCACCCTCCCACCTACCTAAGCCGGCCTTGTTCATCCCTGAGAGCACAGACTTGTGTATGATGAACGCGTCCTTGCTCCAATCCGAACTTGTGGTGGTGACAGTGGAAGATGAATGGAGATTAGCCTTGGTAGAGAATGCCAGTCCGTTGCCCAAGGGCTTTGAGGATTTGTCTGGAGGGACATACGACCCGAGCTGCTATGTTGTGCCAATCAATCAAGTTAAGCCGGAAGTGGTATTGCCAATTGGGATGGAGATCAGTGTAGTCCAAGAAAATGGACCAAGCCAAGGATTAGATGATCTAGCTGACCTAGAGGAGGATATGGACAATTTACAGTTCTTTGATGAACATGATCAAGGGGACGTGCACATTAACTGGTTTGATCTGAACGGGCCAACCGATAATTTAGGATGGCTAAGTGATGAACCTAATGTAGAAGAGGAACTGGTATTGCTGATTGGGATGGAGATCAGTGTAGTCCAAGAAGATGGATCAAGCTAGGGATTAGATTATCTAACCGACTTGGAGGAGGCTATGGACAATTTGCAGCTCTTTGATGAACATGATCAAGGGGACGTGCACATTAACTGGTTCGATCTGAATAGGTCAACTGATAATTCAGGATGGCTAAGTGATGAACCTGATGTTGAAGAGAAAATTCAACCGAAGCTGGAACAACAGGAAGTGGAAATTGTAGCAATGGCCGGAACGGCCGATAAAAAGGGTAAATTGCCGGAGAACACCGGTGCAGAACAAGTGGCTCAGGAAGTGGGCATGGTTAGTGCTGTACATACAGAACAAGAAGCCACCCTGGAGCGGTTTGGGCAGGAAATGAGTGAAAGTGATCAGGAAGCTGGAATGGCTCAACGCCCCATGGGGAATGTTACTGCTGAGGGAACACTTAAACTGGAACCAAACTATTACTTGTCGGTTGTTAGGGGTATGTGGTGGGAAGACGATGATTTGCATCTTGGCCCACACTGATGAAGATTGGGGTGAAGGCCTTCCTGACAATACCCGGTATGTGGAGGAAGTCGACCACATGACAAGAAGTGGCCGATATTTCAAACCACTACACTTGGACCCAACCCGAGGCATTTGGGAAGGACAAAGAGGTAGAAAGACAGGAGGAAAAACTGTTAGAGAAAGAGGCTATGCTGAAACAGTTGAAGAAGATTCAAGCAGACATATCTATCAGGGGGTTGCTTATGGCTTCACGTGTGCACATGCAAGCTGTACTGTCGGCAATGGATAAAGCAAAGTTGTCCATCGACACCCCCCCAGAACAACTGGTGGGATTAGTCTTCCCAGGAGGCGCTTCACCAACTTTGACCTTTTCTAACAAGGAGTTACCGCCAGAAGGCTCTGCACACAACAAGCCTCTATACATATCCGTAGAGTGCCGGGAAAAGTGGGTGCCAGTTGTACTAGTTGACCCTGGGTCAGCAATTAATGTCTGTCCATGCTGCACGGCTTATGCTATTGGCCTGAAATCAGCCAATTTTGTGCCTACAGCTCAGGTGATCCAGGTGTATGACAATACAAGCAGAAATGTGATGAGAACAGTGCAGATCAGAGTGCAGGTTGGACCCGCGCAATAGGATATTGAATTTCATATCTTGGACGTTACAGCCATTTTCAACCTACTACTTGGGCGACCTTGGCTACACCAAGTAAGAGTTGTTTCTTCCACCCTCCACCAAATGCTCAAGTACCCCCATGGAAAAAGGGTGGCCATAGTCTTCGGGAATTCATCTATACATCCTCCGTCTGAGGTCACTACGTCGGTGTTGGAGATTGTACACGGCGAAGAGGATGTGTTCATTTCGGGGTTTACCTTGGCTGAGGCCCGGGTAGTGCAGAATATCCTAGCTATCAATGAGGGTTTCTATGCTAGTGCCCAATCTGTGTACTTCATGAACAAGTTACAGCACATGCCCGGAATAGGATTAAGCAGAAGTGGCTGGAAAGACGTCGCTGTATTGGTCAATGTGCCACAAAACCCTCATGCCTTTGGTCTTGGCTACACGTTTACCAAAGAGGACTGGGCGAGGAAAGGGAAAGAAATGGCCGGAAGAGCTAGAGCAAAGTAAAGCGGGAAGCACTATGAGCTTGTGCATCAACCTATTCGGGGAACCCTCAATGGCTATTTTGTTTGGGAGGGAGAAGACTTCCCATTCTATGGTTTCCCCGAACCTTGGTTCAACTCTGAGAAGCAACGGGTTCCCAGCTTTGAGAT